CCTATGGCTTTTTCCGAGCCTGAAAGCGAGTTCACACATAGAATTATTTTTTTTTATGTTTGTTACTATGGGATTGTAAGGACATTCAGCATCCAAATTAATACTCACTTTTACTTATTTTCAGGATGATGCTTTTTCCAAGAATTCTAATGCTCTGCTATTTATGGGAGATAAAACCAGATGTCCTCGATTAAGAGGTAGTACAGTATGGAAAGCTTTCGTTAGGCTACAGGTAGAAGTGCTAGAAAAGATAGTCTTAGGGACACCTGGGGGCTTAGTCCAGTTAAGTGTCCAATTCAGCTGTGTACCATGATTTCTGTGTTAGGGGTTCGAGCCCCCGGAGTTTGCATGTGTGACAGCTCAGAGCCTGAATGCTTTGATTCTGTTCTCCCCTCTATCTTGCCTTTCCCAGTATGTGCGCTTTCTCAAAAAATAAATAAACATTAAAAAAAAAATCAGTAAATCAGGAATCAGGTTTAACAACCAAAAAATTAACTTTGTAAAAAAAAAAAAAAAAAAAAAAGATAGTCTTTAGTTTTCTTACTGGCCACAAATCAGTCTACAGATTTTTATTGAACATTGCCTGGCACTAGGTAATATGCTGTTTGAAATTATTAGAGTCAAATCTTTAGATTTCGGTTGGATCAGGGAGATCAGTACTTTCATTTAACAGCTGTGGAAATCAGGCATAACCGAAGTTATGTTGCTAATATGTGGCAGAACAGGGAACATTGCCTGGACCTCCCATTTCTGTTGATTGCTCTTTTTTATAAATAAAATCCTCCATTCTTAAAAACCTTCATTCTGAACCTCTTCCAACATGGCATTCAGGTCCCTTAATCCTGATCCTTTTTGCCTGCTGTATTTATTTATCTGGTGCTATTCTTCAATGTTGTGCAACAGCCAGGCTGCTCCCTTGGTATTCAGTGTATGAGCCATGTGCATTACTCCCTCCCTGCCTTTGCTGATCCTTTCCCCCTTGTCTGAATGACTTTCTTCTTCTTTGCATGTCTGAATCTTACTAATCATTGAACACTCATTTCATCCATAAGATTTCTTCTTCCATAACTTGTGACTGTCTTTGATCTTTCTTTTTCTTGTCAAATACTGTAAACTTGTCAAGATTAGGGTGCAGGCAGTATATATATTTCTATATGCTACCTCTTCTCCCCCCAAACTTGACTCAGTGAAAGTTTTTTTCAAGTTATTATTTTTGTGTGTGTCTTTCATCTTAGAGCCATTGTGACCTGTGACGTTTAATTTGGCAGGAAATCTGTGTGGGAATTTTAGGTAATATGGCCTGTTTCCAAGAGATATGTGTGTCCATCAGCAGTGATAAAAATCTTGGGTAAGTTTTATTATATAAGAATTATGTTTTTACAAAATAAATTAACATTTCATATCTCTTAAGAAATCCTAATACATAGGAGATATAGGAAAATTGTATGAAATGTAGTGCTTCCTTTCTCCTGATGAATAGTATCTAGGAACTTCATATATTGATGGTAGCTAGGGGCTTCCACAGTGTTTATTGGCTGATTGAGGATTTAGGCCTGTTTATTGGTAGTAAAAGGATCTAAACAATCAGCAGAGGGTAAGCCTGACTGGATAAGACCCAGCAGGGCAAAGCTTGGTGATGGGGCACCTGACCAGAGTCTCAAACAAGTTAGGCTTAGGGAATCCAAGGGCCCAGAGAGCCAGTCTGGAAAAACTAGATTTACTGACCAGGGTGACCCTGAGAACTCTTAAGATTGGGGAACGGGATTTACCAGTAGACTAGAGAATACAGGGCAGCCTCTGTGATTCAAAGGCTTTCTTACTTTTTTTTTTTTCAACGTTTATTTATTTTTGGGACAGAGAGAGACAGAGCATGAACGGGGGAGGGGCAGAGAGAGAGGGAGACACAGAATCGGAAACAGGCTCCAGGCTCTGAGCCATCAGCCCAGAGCCCGACGCGGGGCTCGAACTCGCAGACCGCGAGATCGTGACCTGGCTGAAGTCGGACGCTTAACCGACTGCGCCACCCAGGCGCCCCAAGGGTTTCTTACTTTTGCTTGGAGGCTAGTTCTCTTTCCTGTGCAGGAAAGTTTTAGGCAGAGGGTTTTTTAGTGGTGGAAACCCTAGTGGTTACTTTAAGAGGTCTGAGAATACTCTAGAATTACATGCTAAATGTTATGAGTGTATACATTTTCTAGGCAGAGGGTTCATGGCTATTAAATCAGAATTTTAAAGAAATTCATAATAGATAAGTGTTCTGGATGGTTATTGTCAGCTAGGGCTGTGAGGCTTTATCACAGGATTTAAGTACCTGGGTCTCTAAAATAGAGCTGACTACCTCTTCTAGGTGTGGAATGACTTTAAGATCCTTGTTTAAGGGGCTCCTGGGTGGCTCAGTTGGTTAAGCATCTGACCTCGGCTCAGGTCACAATCTCATAATTCGTGAGTTCGAACCCTGCATTGGGCTATGTGCTGACAGCTCAGAGCCTGGATCCTGCTTTGGATTCTGTG